TTAACCCAAGACAACCCTGTAATTCTGGCTGACATTAAAGTACTAGGAAAGATACATCATTCTAAGACCTGCATTTATAGATAATTAGAAAACTGAAGAGGTGGCAACTTAGCATGGCACTGTAAAATAAACATGTTTTGGATTTATAAATATAGGCATGAAGAACAGCTATGAAAATGTTTATGCAAACAAAAAGCTGATTGCATTCTGTGGGTGTTTGTGAACAAATCATTGAAACACCTACAGGGTATTGCACTAGATACAAAGTTTTGAAAAGAGTAATAGACAAAGCAATAATCAGGAAACCTAGGGCTATTCAAAATGTAGACCTTTGATTAGACAATACTTATGTCAATGGCAGAAATGAAAACACTAGCTAGTAGTATACAATAATGATAAACATCTATGAAGTGTAGTGTGGGTTTCATGTGCCTTACTGCATCTCAATGTTTTATGAGGGAAGAGCTTGTTCTGCATTGTTAGGCCTATTAGCATTGTCCACTACCACTCTATTATTAATATCTGATCAATCACAAATAACAGAAAAGTTAAATCATAACCATAAAAAAAATAAAATTACAAGTATTGTTAAGTACAGGCTGTACAGTAAGTGATTCTTATCAAAGCTGCCTCTTTTCAAACAGACCTTAATTCAGGCATATAAAAAAATGGAAATTAAAGTTACTATCATTTGAAATGTAAATTATCATATTAACTCTGCCATGGGGTTTTCAGCAGTACAAGGGAATTCCCATTTCCTTTGTAAAATAAATACCAAAGATTGCTTATAATATGCTGACAAAGCACTTTCTATTAAAATTAGCATTATGTGCCTAAAATAATCCAACAACTCATATTTATTCATATGGATTTGTATTTTTTAAATCTGGGTCAGTATACTGTGTAGGATACCCAAACACTCCAACCAAATCTCACTCTACAAAAATCTAAGAAATGTCATATGAAAGAATAAGCTATCAGATGCAATGCTACAACCAGGGTCTGGTCTAGTCTTCTGTAGATTGCTTCATACATCTCCACCAAAGCTAAGCCTTCATTTAAATAAGCGTCTAAAAAATAAACAAAAACATACTTAAAAAAATGAAAATCCAGCTTGCACAGGTCCTAAAACAGATAAGTAATTCTTCTGCTCTTTGCACATTTTGCGACAGATCTTTGTTGATGCACATATTGACCCATGAGAGAATGTATATCATTTCAATTGTGACTGTTTAGAGCACGTTAAAAAATGAGATAAGTCAGTCAGGATTTAAGGAAATGGAATTCAGGGATAAGAACTAAAATCTACGAAGGTTCATAACAAAGGATCTCTACCGCATTGACAAATGTTTTCTGATGGATTTTTCTATTGCTAGTGTGACCTCCAGGAAGGTCAGCTCATTCCTCAGATGGCTCATTGAACAATGCAATGAACTATGACCTACAACCTGCTGCCAGGATGATTTGATGTTCATTGGAAAGCAAGAAACACAAGCACAAAGTGCAATTCTTAAGTGCCTGAAGGTTTTCCTATTTGTTAAAGTGCATCTTATATCCAAAAAGTTATATCTTCCAAAACGTAAACATAATCATGCAGTCCAAACAATAATAGACACTAAACTAGGTAGTGTGTTTAGACTATGTAGGCAAGAAGACTGAACTCGTGATCATACATTAGAGGGTGTGTGATATATTTCTTCAGTACTTCCACAATTTTTAATACTTTTATGGATTCAACTCAATAATTTTCATAACAGTTATGATTAACTTATTTAGTGACTTGAAAAATATTCAGACTCTTCCTAGGTGTCCCATTTTGTGAAATTACAAACTGATGGATACATTTTTTTAAAAAACTTATTAAGTTCAAAATTTGAATGCTCAGACTAAAGACTTACAGAAAGATACAGTAAGTGTCAACAAAATCTAAAGAGGAAAAAAAGAGAAAATGTTCTATTGTCATTGTATATGTTGATTCTCAGCGTTCAGATCAGTGAACTCAATATTCAATGGAAGCACCTTTGGCAGCAATTACCCTAAAAGAGTGTAGTTACTGTAAAAGGCTGCAAGTTTCTACGAGCTTTGCACTCCAATTTGATACAATTTTTGCCCATTTTTCGCAACAGATCTGCCAAAGCTCTCTCAAGCTGCTTTGGGATCAAACAGCAATTTGTAGTTTTCACTTCCTTCCACATGCGATTCAAGTCAGGACGTTGATTGGGCCACACAGGAACAATCACTTTCTCATTCTTAAACCACTCCAGCTTTGGTCTTTTACTTTGTCCTAGTGAAAAGTAAATATTTGTCAATCTATGTTCCCATCAGTCTTGACTAGCTTCCCAGTCCCTATTGATGAGAAGCACACTTATAACCACAATGCTTGACAGTAGGGACGGTGGTGTCTGACTCACTATGTTGGGTTTGCATCAGATGTAATACCTTGCATTCAGACCAAAACGTTTGTCTGACCACAAAACCTTTTGCCACATGTTTGCAGTATCACTTACATGCTTTATTGCAAACTCCATGATGGATCTGAGAAGGATTTTTCACTCTAATTTGTGGAGTGACAGGGATGTTGTTGACCCATGGACATTTACTCCATTATTCTAAGCCACTGAACTCTGTAACTCTTAAAATCACTGTTGCCTAATGGTGGTATCCCTAACCAGTTCACTCCTTGCCAGGCTATTCAGTTCAGAGAGACATTATCATCTAGGCAAGTCTGGGTGCTTTCTGCTTCTTAATGATCAACTTCACAGATATATACAAGAGATATAAAGGGTGAAATGTTCTTCTACATTTTTATTTTTGGTCTGTGCCTTTCTATAGCTTTATGCCTGACACGTTTAGAAAGCTCCTTAGTCATCACAGTTGAATCTTTGCTGAACAAAAGGACCTTAGAAAGATACGTTATTTATTCTAAAATTATGTGAATCACTATTATTGCACACCGACAGAGGCCACTCAATTGTGAGTAATTTTGTGTACCTAAATTAATTTAGCTTTACTGCAGCAAAGGGTTTGAATACTTATGAAATCATAACTTTTCCATTTTACTTTTATATTCATTATGAAATTATATATTTTTGACTTTTTGGGGGGGGAGGGGAGGGGGGTTGCTTTGAATATAGAGAGTAGATTGAGTATATATGAATTGTGACTTAAGTGTCATGACTGCAAATTTTAAAGCAACAAAATGTGAAATCTATGCAAGATTCTGATTTTTTTTTAATTCTTCCCTTCAGGTCCAGTGTGTAATTAGATGTTCACCCAAATATGAGAAGCACTTTTTTAATTCAAATGTCAGGGTGGTGTAATTGGCCTGGAGCTTATAATAAAAAAAACAACTAGAAATTGATCTGGTTGTCAACATATTTACCACAAGAGTGCAGAACAGTGTTGAACTATTTGTAAGTATAGTCTCTTGGGGATGGTTCCATTTGTTAATATTGGAGAAAGACTGTCCTAATAAACATGGTGCTCAACTGGGGGGAAAAAAATAGGATCTGAACACTTGGCAGAGGTCTGGGGTTCTCTGGTTAAGTCAAGATGCATACCTTGTTTGTAAATATTGTTATTTGTATGTTGTATGTTGCTTACTGTCTGTACTGCATTATTAATAAACAAAAAAATAGTAACATACTGCCATTTTGCTTAGCTTGTTGTGGTGATTTTATATTCATTTTTAGTTATCCAAAATGAACAAGAGATCACAGTACACTTTTAAATTCAAGAAGGAGGAGATCCTGTGTTCAGAACAGCATGGGAATCGTCAGGCTGAAAGGCAGTTTGGAGTGGATTTACAGTCAAAACGTATATGATAAAGTTTAAAGCCTTCAAGGTAGCCACACAGCTAAACGTTCCAGGTCAAGAATTCAGAGTGTCCCGTGCCTGGATAACAGTTTCATGAGGAGGAATAGGTTTTATCATTGTGCTCTTGTCCTAATCATTTTGCCTTACACTAGGTAATGCTGCAAATCATTTTGCTTTAATCTCATCTATGAACATTTTTCAATTTTATCATTCCTTTTCAGAAGTTCTTTTTTACAATTTCCACAGTCCAAATTTCTGGATGCTGTTTATAATCAGGGGAAGCTTACATTTGGGTAAAAATGAAGTTAAAGAAGTTAAACACAACATTAATGTTTAGAGAAGCAAAATGATCTTCTACACAAACTGTATCACGATTGTTAACAAATGAATGATTATTAAAAATAGTTACCATTGACAATCAGCAGTAGATGTTCTTGTCGTAAAAATTTTGTTTTCACCTCTTCATATATTATAGCAAACATTTAAGAAAATGATTTAATAAAATAGTTGTGGTTTTAACAAGCACCAGGAAAGGGAAACAAGTATAATTAATTGTGTCAAAAAAACAACTAAAGATTTCTATCTGCCATTTGATATGAAATCTTTATTTAGGAGTAAATAAAGATTCCTGCAATTTAAAGTTTAGCAACAGTTCACTTAAAAAAAACAAACTGTTCCTTTTTATTAGTTCCATTCCATTTGTTCATTTGACTTACTACTTTGGCTTCCTAGAAGAACAGGAACTTGAAGGTTCAGCTACAAATTAGTTGCATCAACGAGTTGCTAGCAAGGATAAGCACAGATATATCTGATGTCTTCTTTAATTATTAAGAAGTAACATCATTCATAGCTGCCTTTATCCTGGCCTTAGCAGGTCTCTTCGTGACTGAGGAGGTCACAGCATGGACTAAAAGCTCTGGAAGACAAAGATGTTGACAAAGGACTTTAGCAGTAGGACGTTAGCTCCAATCCAGGCTTCCACCAGTCCGGCAAAATTTGAGTGTTGGCCATGACCCAGTCTTTGTGATTCTTCATCATCTTGTTCAAAACCCCAGTACCCAAGGATTTGTTTCAGCCATCTGGTTTGCTCATCCATTACAAGACACAAATTCCTTAAAGCACACACAGGTACAAATCAGCCCGGATAATCACTGAGCTACTGTAGGTTTAATATGCATGCCTACCGCAATGTGACTGCAACTGCACCGGCCACTGCAGGTCTCCTAGAAGACAGAATCAGGCAAAATGGGTAGATTGGAGTTCAACTTGCTATAAGAAAATAAACCATTTAGAAATGATGCCCGTGAGGGTATGACACTATTTTGTCTTCTAGCATATTTCTTTTTAATTTTACTCAAAATCATTTAATTTTATTTCTTCTAGGTTACATTTCACCCTTTTAACATGAATCAAAGAACAGCTGCTTTGTATCCGATGGAATGCTGAAGTATAGTTTGTTCATACTGTAGGCATCACACAAACTGGCAAATTGGGAACTGCTACTGTGAAACCCTTGTCCCTTTAGGTTACAGACAACAGATGTAATTGCTACAATACCATTCAGTTATTGAGTGCTAAAGGGCTAATATAAAGCTTTTCAACCTATTTTAGAATTATCTGATCTGAGACTTTGGAGATGGTCAAAAGAGAAAAAAGAGCCATTAAATGGCATGCATTTTTGTCTTTTCCACAGTTATTAAAAACCATTTTGTAATACAATTACATGTAGGCACAAAATACACCCTAAATAATAAACTGTCCATTGTGTTAGCTTATTTATATAGATGACATCATTATTAACATTACATAATTATTTCTTGAACATCTTATTCCACAGTTTTAACTCAACATTTTGTTCAAGGGACGTCAGGCTTTGTAAATATTCAGCAAACTGTAACAGCTATGCTCCTCTAATAGGTTTTTAATTATGAAGCAGAAGTTATGTGTATAGTGACAATTAGCCAGACAAATGTTTTAAACACAAGAACTAAACATGCATTCATATTGATATATAATTAGTTTCATTTCTTTTATTAAAATATGGTGTTCTTCACTATGCTCTTTCCATATCTGACAGAACAGAAAAAAATAAAGGAAGCCAACACAATTGTTAATTAAGCAAACCTTTTGGATGCTATTTAAATCTTCCCGAAGACAGCGTTTTTTAAGAATGATGTTAATTAATACGTTTGTTTATATATGTATTATTATTACATGGTATGGCAATAATAACCAGACATAGTCATATACAATTGTAACATATTATGTAAACCTGTACATATAAATCTGACAGCAAAAGCTAGTACACTGGCACTTACAATGCTTGAAAAATCTGCCTACATAGAAATAAAAAGAAAACATATTTAAAATGGAATAACAAGAGTAAACAGCTGAACATTAAGATAAATAAGCACTAGTCATCATACAACATGCTTTTCAAAAGAAAGGCAGGAATTCACTGAGGGTTACATTGATGCCATTAATCCAAGAATGACAAAGTCAGTTTATAACTGTGAACAAAAGTTCCTAGGGTGAATAACTTTGATCTGTCTCTATTGATTATGTATCTGCTTTTTTTCTAACGTCTTTTAGTCATGGTAATTATTATTTATACACCTGTGGTGCACTGCTGAAGGTACAGGAATCAGAAGTCGTCTGCCTCTTTGCAACTCATGTACAGTACATCAAAGCCCATACTTGCATAACAGGTTGCCAAAAATCCTTTTGCCAGTTCATGTCAAGACAGAAATTATTAAATGCAAAAAAAACAGTGTATGTATACTTCTGTACCTCTCTTCTCTGAAAGGCCTTGTATAGAGCTTGCAATCTGAGGTCATAAGAACATGAACAGGTGATACAGACTTATCTTACTGCAGGATTATGTCAATATCCTCACAGAGAGACAATCAGAGGTTGGTAGATCACAAGAATATTAAGAACAGTTTCTCAAATGCAGACACTGCTAAATTTATAGTCTCTCAGCATAAGATTCCAAATCCATTAAGGTTCTTCAGTACACCTTTTAATATGCCCTTTAAGAATTAATCAACACTGGAGAGATGAGATGATGTTCTTGTTGACTTACTGTATGTGTTCTTACGGTTCTTGCAATTGTAATATATTCAATAGAAAGAAATATAGTTGGGACCATGTGGACCACAAGCACTTTTGAAGAAGGAAAAAAATAATTATATTTAAAGTAAAAAGAATGATTCTTGTTAATATCTGCATACAGTATATATTAACATGACAGTAAAACACAAATTGCAAGAATATACAAAAAACACATCTCACAATTCTAATGAATTAATTGAATTTATTAGCCAGCTGCTGTAGTTACCACAGTATAAAAAGAAAATTAACATCTTACTATGACAACAGGTTGCCTTTGGTATCCAGTATACAGTTAGATTTGTTTTATATTTGTGGAAATTTTTTCATTTGCCTTAACTTGAATTTAGCCAATGCAATAGCACATCCACATAATATGAAATAGCTGGTTCTGGACAGTAAATTAAGCAATGATTTCTGTTATTTAATTTTTGCTTTTTGTAAATAACCATTTACATAATCTATTGGTTTATATTTCTTGCAAGTATGAAATATTACCTGCTCTTTAGCCTGCAAGAGCTCTCTTTTCCTCATATTGTAGTATGGTCTTATGGTAAAACATGCCACACCTTCCTATATACTACAAAAAATATGTACCTCTGGCCTGATAATAGCAAAACCGATACACTGTATTAATGAAGATGCATTTACTGCACTATAAACTGAGCTAGAACAGCTTTTAGGATACCTGGCATACCTTTAATCATTGTGGAATAATTCACATACAATCGGACGGTTGCTATACTTTGTATATACGAAAACAACTATACATTTTGATAAATTGTGCTGCTATATGTAACTTCAATTCATAGACTAGGAATATATTGTATACTCTATGAGTCAGTACACAGAAACGTTTTAACAGTGTGTCACAAGAGGATTGCATTAGTGCTTTTCATTTCTCGTAGTAGGATATCCACACATTTACAGTAAATGATTGTTTGGTTTCTTTGAATTAAAGTTCATACTAGAAAAAATGACATCATAAAAGCCCAAAATAATTAAACTTAATAGACCATATAAAACCTTATTACTCCAAGGTTAGGACATACAGTATATACTGATTTTAAAACATTTTCTAGACGTTAAAACCTGTCTATGAGTTAGTGCAACCAATTTCTCTTTTACATCCTTTATAAACTTTATAACATATAACTTAGTCCTGGATAAATAAAAGTAGATACTCTGATAAATTAGCAATTGGTAACTCAAATAAGATACCCTTCATTATGTTCAGAAATAATATATCCTTTTTGGCGAGCTTCCAATGGAGCTTTTCAGATTGCGCTCACCACATCTGTTTGTCAAGATGGTGTCTGGAACAGATTTAAAGATTTAGGCAGTATTTTAAAAGCAACTTTATTCCCCCCAACATATTATGATAATATGGAACAAAATGTCATCCATGTTAACTCATCTGGTAATTACTCACTGTAGCTACATAACGTGCATCATTGGAGGAGTAATCATAATTTTGCAAACATTTTAGGAAGTTAGAGATGGCTACCCCTTCTATTATAACCCATTGTATTCAGCTATAACTTCCTTTTTCTTCTAAATCACATTTACAATGTTTTTTTTTTCATCTTCACACTGTCTTAGCTCCTTTTTAAGCCTGATAGTTTGATAGTCTTGGTTGTCAAAACTGTGTCAAGGAATCTCACTGAAAATAACAGTTAACAGTACATTAATAGGCAGTGCAATTATTAATAATAAAATGCATTAATAATAATGGCTTACACTTATATAGCGCTTTTCTGGACACTCCACTCAAAGTGCTTTATAGATAATGGGGACTCCCCTCTACCACCACCAATGTGCAGCCCCACCTGGATGATGTGATGGCAGCCATAGTGCGCCAGTACACTCATCAGCCATCAGTGGGGAGGAGAACAGAGTGATGAAGGCAATTCATACAGTAGATGGGGATTATTAGGAGGCCAAGATTGGAAAAGGCCAAAAGGAATTATTACTCAAATTGTGTACTGTATTTTTCCCCCCAAGAAAATTACAGTATATCAATTTCTGATCATAGACTCCAGGTGAAAAATACACATGCATTTTACCAGCAATACCCACATTTAAGACTTCAGCAGTAATTCCTACTGATGAAAAAACACTTTGCCATGCTAAAGTTATGAAAGGATAAAAAAAATACAAATAAAATACTGTTATTGATTTTGTTTTTACGAAGGTCTGTGTTAAAGTAATAAATATTACCAAAGGTATAGAATTGATGTAAATTAATGTGTTCATATTCTATTTGTATTTCTAATTATTAAATTATTTTTATCTACCATGTTTCACATGTGGTTGGAATTCATTAAAACTAAGATCCAAAGGATTATTAAGAAAACCTAAAATAAAAAAGACAGATATTTGGACAAAAAAAAAGTATTGCAGAAAATAAATATCTTCTAATATTTGTGCTGTAAAATGTTTGATTACCTGTACTGGATCACTTCAAATGCTGATGCTACTGTTAAGCCATCAAGATTTTAATACATAAGAATATGAAACCAGCTTTTAACAATTTTTTCCTTTCCAGGTCACTGCACAGAAGCACTATTCTTGTTTAGCAAACCTCTATATTTTGACACAGAATGGATTTTGCTGCTGCTGCTGCTGCTGCTGCTGCACCTTCAGTGTAGGAGATAAATAATGCATACAGCTTACATAGTTGAATCTTCAAAGTATAGTAGGGCATCTGAACTATACAAGGTTTCTTTTTTGTTTTTACCAAACACGTTGCTTGCAATCCCCAGATCCTTAGTAAGGCATAATTTGTTTCAGACTTGTACCTGGAAGTGTTTCATCAGGGCTAGAAACTGCAGTTTCTACATCCTAAGAAGCACATATTGTTTCTCATACCACAGAACTAGCAAGAAAAATGAATGCATTAGGTTTCATGAATCAAAACAGCTAGTAGCCTGGGCTTTAGTAAGAGACCCAGCAATAAATCTGATATCAAAGGAGCAAGAAAAGATATGAAAATATACTGCTGTGGGCAATGCAAACCAACAATACTTGGTTCTGTTTAGTTTATATAGAAATTGATTAAAGAAGAAACATAACTGCAGATCTGCTTTGGGAGTATTAGGACTTCTTAACT